AAACGGAGAACATGGAAAACATTTTCTTCTTGTCAATTAGCATAGCCAGTCACAAAGCTAAAGGGATTTTATATTGAAGTAGAAATTACTAAGAGTGGGGGCAATCTCAGGTAAAGATAAAGAGAAAATACCCACTGAAACCGGTTTGGCTCAATGGAGAGAGCGTCGGCTTGGGGACTGAGAGGTCCCGGGTTCGATTCTGGTCAAGGGCATGTACCTTCGTTGTGGGCATATACCCGGTAGGGGGTGTGCAAGAGGCAGCTGATCGATGACTCTCTCTCATCGATGTTTCTAGCTCTCTATTTCTCTCCCTTCCTCTCTGTACAAAATCAATAAAAATATTTTTTTTTTAAAAAAAAAGAGAGAAAATACCCAAGTCAAGTTGATATCTTTCCATACGTATTCCATAAGTCCAGCTAAAAGTTTTAAAAGGTCATTCTAATTTAACTTATGTCTCCCCAAATCTCCTGAAAGATTTTAAGGGGTGGCTCTCCTTGAAACTCGAGGAGGTTTATTTAAGAGTTCTCCAAGTTGCGAAAGTAATAGGGAATGCTTCAATTTAAGAAATCAAAAGTTTGCCAAATTCTTTGCTTGAGTAAGGAGCCCAGTGAGACAGCGTGGTGGCCAATCTTCAGTGCCATTGGGAATAGTAACTAGGTCCCTACCACCCCATTCAGCCAGGGAGGGACCTCCCGCTGTGGGTGGTTCTACATTGTTGGAATTCCTCCTGGAGAGGCTCATGGCTGACAGCCACTGCCCCTGTCCTGGAGCCACAGCTGACAGAGGAGGAGGCTCTTGTCACAAGCCGGATTTTACAACCTGGCTCCAGCAATGACAAACAAAAACACAGAGACTAAATGCTAAGGTAATTCCAGTGACTTGCAGTCACTGCCCCATAAATAACCTGAACTGTCTTAATCTCTCCTTTGTGCCATGTGTATGGCTCAGATGAAGTCACTGGAGACTGGAAGGGAAAAAGCTGATTTACTGATAGAGGCAGAAGGTATACAACTTCCCTGAGAATTTTTATCCATCTTCCTTTAGTTTGATCAATTTAAACACAGGCAAACTTGAGCTGTTAGAGTAGAAGGGGTATCATCCAGCGCTGCCCTGTGACACCTTCTTGACAAATAGCCTCATGCAGTTCTTTGTAATTGTTCTTACATGCATCTGCCACTGGGAACAGGGCTGAGAATTTTGTCCCCAGCCCTTCCTGTCCCGTATGCAAATCCAGGTTTGAATCCATTTGAGTGAGCACATAGCTTGGGTACTTTTCAAAGTTCTCTGTTACCAGACCTTGTAGCCTGAAAATCAGACATTCTGCTAAAAAAAAGTGGGCATACTAGTGTCAGATTTCTTTTTCTTTTTTTTTTTTTAATTTTTTAAAATATATTTTATTGATTTTTTTACAGAGAGGAAGGGAGAGAGATAGAGAGCTAGAAACATTGATGAGAGAGAAACATCAGCTGCCTCTTGCACACCCCCTTCCGGGGATGTGCCAGCAACCAAGATACATGCCCTTGCCCCGAATTGAACCTGGGACCTTTCAGTCCGCAGACCGACGCTCTACCACTGAGCCAAACCAGCTTCGGCTTTTTAAAAAATTTATTAAATCTTGATGTTTCCATTATTTTCATGTGACTTTTCTTTTTTTTCTTTTTTTTTAAGTGATTTAGAAGTTCCAGTATTAGTGGGCTACTTAAATTTGGGTACATTGCTTGTGCCTTGGTTTGTCTGTAAAAATAGAAATTCTGATGGTACTAATCTCACAGAGTGGCTATTATGATTGCATAAGATAATGAACTTAAAACACATGATCAACAAGCAACCGTCGTTATTTTAAGTGCATTGCATTCCTATGAATTGCTTTTTTGAAGTCACGTGTCATTCACAGAACAAAATGGTACCTACCCATGAAACCTTCTCTTATCTATGAGGCGTCACCTTGCAAAGCCCTGAATGGGTCAGTGCAGTGGGGATGAAATATACAGATGTTTATTAGGCAGCATTTAACAGGGGGGAAAAAGAAAAAAAGAAAAAAAAAAAAAAAGCTAAGAAATGGGAAGATGTAAAATTGGGATGCTTGCTCATCCTATTCAGTCTGTATCCCATTTTCTCAGAGCTGCCCTTCAGCATATTTATGGAAATGCTAAGACTGTGATTCATTTACACACGATTACATTGATGTGGAAGTTTCAGAGGACTATGTTATTCATTAAGACTGGTAGGCGCCATTGCTTTATCTTTAGTCCAATGGGTTCTTATTGACCAAATTAATCATCACAGTTTTAGTCACTACATTCATATCACAGAAAATTAAAAATAAGCAGCCCTTCCCTAATTGGAATTGGATGCACTGACATCAATGTCCTGTTGTGATAAAGCCATTACTAATCACATCTTAACACATTCTCCCCCATCCCACCCCCCTTCACTTTTTATTTTTGTAAGAGAACATTTATTGGGTAAATTACACAGTAGAAAAAGTAATTCCTAGAAGAAATGGGCTTAGGAAACAAGTTATAGAGGTAAAGGAAGGGCCCTTGGAGCTTGGGTGTGAGGAAGCTAATGGTAATGTGTGCCTGGGGCTGGGGAGGGGGTTGGGGGGGAGGCAGGGCACCGGCTTGCTCTTTGGAGGGAGAGCATGGGGAAGGGGGAGAGGAGGAGTACAGTGTGGGGGGAGGGACCCGCCCCATTTTTAGTCATTGGAAGGAGATGGTAGAGTTACAATACTTAAAGTATTTTGGGGGCTCCAATTAAACATTTCAAAAGTATCTGTAATCTAGCCTCTTCATTTATAGCTTACTTTAGCATAAGCATTAATAATTTAATTTAAAAAATTCAAAAAAAAATGGAGCAATTACCCATATAGTCACAAGTGGGTGTTAGAATGATTTGGGGAGTTTCTGTTATTTCAATTTTTGATTCTCTGCCCTGTCACCAGATGTTGTTTTTAAACAAACAACATATATTTTATTGATTCTTTACAGAGGAAGAAAGAGGGATAGAGAGTAAGAAACATTGACCAGCTGCCTCTTGCACATCCCCACCGGGGATGTGCCCACAACCAAGGTACATGCCCTTGACCAGAATAGAACCCGGGACCCTTGAGTCCACAGGCTGACGCTCTATCCACTGAGCCTAACTGGCTTCGGCTGTCATCAGTTCTTAAATGGTTCTGATATATTTAAGTGTTTGGAAGCCACTACCTAAAAGAAATCAGCTAATAAGTCTAAGTGGAAATCAGGATATATTTGAGAAAGGTAATTAATAATGTACTTTTTTTTAAAGATAACTTTTATTTAGAAGAAGTCATTCATTAAAAAAATAGGCTTAGGAAACAAGTTATAGAGGCAAAGAAGTGTAATGATGTACTTTTTATACCTATTCTTCTTGGGTTTCATGAAAATATGTATATAGTTAATGCATACACACATATTCATATATTAAATGCTAGTAATATAAATAATGAAAATACAAAGATGAGGAAATGGCTTGTCAATTTGAATGTGATAAATATGATTTATGAAAATTATTTTTCATAGCCCTATCAATCTTTTCAAAATTTATTTCTATATGTTTGGCAGTAGCTTAGAACACACATTATTTAATCTATTAAATATATTTCTATTACACTACTTTAGAATAAAGTTTAGGAAAATTTTAAAGTAATTACAATTCTTATTCATTGTGAGAGCTAATCACAGGTTAAACTATACAGTTGATAATTTATTAACATAACTCTTCTTTAAGACTAACCTTAGTTCAATAAGTTGACTCTTCGCTTAGTGAAAAGCCTTAGTGTTTCTTTTTTCTTCAACTTCACTATCATTTACCTTGGACTGAGATGTGTTCCAATACTTCTGTTGACAAAGAGGATGTGTTCCACCACATCAGAAGTTTTATAGCCAGAGGCAGTAATTACACCAATGGAAAAAAAAAATGCTTTTGTCAGATAATGGGACTATCCTATTTATTTTTACCAGGTGATACAGGAAGACATAAAATGTGCATCAAATGTCTTGGGGCCAACAAAAAGACCCAGGTATACTTAGAGGGAAAGCAGATGGAGGAACCGAGCCCAGATATTACACATAGTAGGTCCCAAATGAGCCTTCACCTTCAGAAACTCTCTTCAACAGACTCAGCCAACATCCCCAGATGAGACCCTCCCTTTAACCCAACTCACAGGGCACCTAGATGTGCCCGTCAAGTTCTCCTTTAGACCAGTGGTTCTCACCTAGCAGCAATGACTCTGCTATGAGATGCCCTGCACCGTAGGATATTTAGCAGCATCTCTAGACTCTATCCACTACACACAACAGTAGCTTTGGGTGTCCCCACCCCCACCCTTTCCCAGGCACTTGTGACAACCAAACGTGTCTTTGAACAGGGTCACGTTCCTTTGGGGACAAAATTACACTCCCTTGAGAACCACTAGATTCGATGTAGCAAAATATGGGTTTGAAAAGTAACTTGTCTCACAAATATCCCACCCCCGTTAAAAATGCTGAAATTCCTTTAATAAGGTCACATGTCTTTCCACAATCATAGATTACAAGGCTTAAATGGCGGGTACCAGTTTCAGGTAACTTTGGTGGGAACACATGTCAGGTAAAGTGAACTAGTGGTTTTCAGAACCTTCCCAGATCTGCTCGGACAAAAAGATGAAAGAGCTAAAGCCCACCCAAAATGCCAACTTTTTAAAAAGAAGACTAGGGACAAACTTCCAAACCTTGATCACCTTACCTGAAATAACTTATCCCTCCATTGAACATGTACCTCGTGCCTCATCAGGCAGTGTGAAATATACAGTGATGTCAGCATTCTGTAGATGGAAAGAAGGGTCTAGGAGATGGCTAGATATTGGATATTTAGAGGCAGAATGGACAATTAGATGGAGAAAACTTAAAGCCCTCGTGAGAAAATGCCTGATCAACTCTGACCAGAAGCAAAACCGTGTAGGGAGAAAGGGCATGTGGTTAGAGTCTGAGTTCCTGAATTCAGACCCATCCACTACCACTTAGGTTCTTTAAGGCACCTGTAAACCAGAAATAATGGCATCTGTGAGGATTCAAAGAGGAAATACTGATAAACCTTTGAGGCCAGTGACCACCACTGAGTGAAGCTAGGTTGGGCCTTGAGCATGGCAGGGTTTCAGAGCTGGACCAGGGTCGTGAAGAGAGCCACCAAAGTCTGAGCCGCCACTGTAGTGAAAGGGAGAGAGAGCCAACAAGGAATGAATAAAAGGTTAACTGAGCATCTGTGCCTACTCCACCGCTGCAACCGTTGTCCTGGGAATGTGACTAACCAACCGCTTTATTTTCTTTAGTCATCCTTACTGACTCTAAAGCAAAATGCACTAAAATGCCCATTGCATTGACCTGAATTTGGGAACATTAAGAAACTATATTGGAAGGGCATGAGACTAGGAGGGAGAGAGTATTCAAAATGGTGAGCCCAGGTATTAAATGCAAAAGGAAATAAGTGAAGCCAAAATCAGCTCATAAACTGAAAGATCTGGGAGGGGTTCAGTGACTGAGAGTCTCAAGGTCAAAACACAGCTCTGGTGGGAAAGGTAGGAGGACGGATGTGGGGGACAGAGCAGTGACCAGTCCACGTGTTCACAGGTGGAGCAGCTTTGGGCAACACAAGGCTCAGCTAACCTTCGCATGGAGGTGGGGGCACTGAGCCGATGGGAGAAAGGCCGGTTATTTTCCTCTTGATCAACTCAAACCACTCTGCTCCCAAGGATACCCCATCAAAACGCTTTGTTGGCAAGGAATTCTATGATCTATGAATTGTCCTCCAACAGTCTTCTTAGTATCTCAAAAGGCTGTAGGGTGAGTAGTTAAAGGAAGGGGAAGGCTGCAAAGAGAAATACAATATACTTTAAGGAATATCAGTCGATAAAGAATAGTAATAATTATAGCAGATATTTATACTTTAAATCTAAACATTGTATAAACTGGCTGGCACATAGTGCCCCATTCAAATTAACCAAAAGTATTCTTAAGGGATAGTTCCTTTCTCATTATCACCTGGACGTCTGTCCAAAACGCACCTCAAAATATGTCAGTCCTTTCCCATTGTCACCTCGGTGCCTCTCTTTTCTCCACCCTACCCTTAGTATGCTCATGTGCACACACACACACACACACACACACACTCCCTACACATAATTTGGGGGATTTATTCATTTAATAAATATGCACCAGATGCTGTTCTAGATGCTGGGAAACACAGCAGTTAAAGAGATTGGGCCTGTGCGCACATGAAGCGTGAACTAAAGGGGGAGACAGGGAACACCTGAGACCTTGCTTCCTGGCATGTGCTGTCAGTTTGGCTCAAATAAACTCTTATAAAAATTCAAAAAAATAATAATAATAAAGGGAGAGACAGTTAACAAACAAGTGGACATATTCATAAACAATTTCAGATAGTGAAAAGAGCTATGAAAGAATAAGCAATGTGACAATAAACTATTTTATATTGATTTATATATCATATTAAGTCTATATGTACATAAAAGTATCATATTTTAGAGATATATCCCTATTATCCTTTAAAAAATTAGGGTGTAGCCCTAACCGGTTTGGCTCAGTGGATAGAGCGTCAGCCTGCAGACTGAAGGGTCTTGGGTTCAATTCCAGTCAAGGGCACGTACCTTGGTTGGGGCATATCCCCAGTAGAGGGTGGGCAGGAAGAAGCTGATTGATGTTTCTAGCTCTTTATCCCTCTCCCTTCCTCTCTGTAAAAAGTCAATAAAATATATTTTAAAATAAAAATAAAAATAAATTAGGGTGTAAGTGATAAAAATTATTATCCAATCACTATAGAACTATTGGCTGAACAGAAAATCACTGATTTGCTGATTTGGTATTTCTGCTCAAGAGATCACATAGGATGCTTAGCTCAATCATATATGAATCACAAATACACAATAACATTTTAAAAAGAAAGCATGTTTAAGAAGGTCTTACCTCCCACCACCCTCGTTTATCTTCAAAGCCAGAGAGCTCCCACACAGCACTTTCTGCTCCAGGCCCCTCAACACTGAGCTTCTGGGGCTGAGGGCCTTGGACAACAACCTCGCAATCCTTAATTTCCAAATCAAATTCCATGGTCTAATTACCAGTGTTCTTTCTTCAAAGAACTAGAGCGTAAGAATTCTGTGTAGGCTAATAGGACGGATCATTAGGCTACCCTTGGAAAAGGGAAATGTGACCGCTGCCTTGCCTATAGAAGAATTCCTAAGGTTTTCTGGCATTTGGCTCCACAGCCACGCCAAACAAGAGCGAATGTAGATTTTGTTTCTAACCTAGGATCAGGTGAGCGCAAAACAGAGACCTAGTGTGAGTGTTCATAAGTATTTTTTTTTTCCCTTTCATCCAGTCAGTTAATATAACCAGCACATCAGAACCTTGTGTTATAACCAGAATCCCAACCACCAAGAGATGCTTGGAGTATCCCTTGGAGACCCCACCACCAGAGTCCTACAGCCGCAGGGAACTTCCTGTGAAATTCCAAACTAGCTCATCCTCTTTGCACTTTTCTTTATCACTCTCTTTTAAGCAACTAAAAACAAGCTTACGTGCATGTTTGTTATGCGCACAACCTACTCAAGGTAATCAAATTCAAACCGAATGGAAGACTTCATAAACCCTCTTTATAAATGGGACTTTTGTTGTTGTTCTCAAGAAAGCCACGTGGGCCCGGCTGTAAGCCTGCATTCTGGAGGACGGATGTTCACCTCTTCCCCTTCGGTGTACCTAAGGTACATATAGATAAAATGTCATGAAATACTTTAGAGAATTTCAGTGGCATCGTGTTATTGTTTGTGTCAGAAAGTGACTCTTCTTGGAAGGTCATTATCAGATAAATATAACCAGAGTGTACCTGGGGCCTTTGACCAACCAGCTTATCTCCAGATTCCTACTTCCTTTCCTTTCTCTTCTATCTCCCCAAGGAATCTGAGCTGGAAAACCAGCTCCACCCATTGCATAAACACACCATGGGCACACACATCCTGCAGTTTTACACTGTTGGGGGGTCAACCCCTTGTCTCATCCCTTCTGCTAGACATTTTCCTGTATGAGGATCCGGCTACCTGTCCTCCATCTTCTTTCCTATAATGGGAAGCCCCGTGCATAAGGCAGCTGTACAATTTTCACACTGAATTCCTCACCACATTTGAGTTAGCAGCAGCATCCCTCAACCGAGCACTTGCCTTTGACACTGTGCCTTTTTAAAAACAGATTTTAACACAGAAGTTATTTTTCATATGCTTTTATTTATTTCGGAGAGGAAGGGTGTGTGAGAGAGAGAGAAACATCAATGATGAGAGAGAATCATTGCTCACATGCCCTCTACTAGAGATCAAGCCACAACCCAGGCATATGTCCTGACCTGGAATTGAACTGTGACCTCCTGGTTCATGGGTCAGTTGACCCTCAACCACTGAGCCACACCAGCTGAGCGTCACCACGCCTTTCAACACCAAGACCTTAGTGCAGGCATTATCCAGCCACGTGCAGCTAACATCTTAGCAGCACCATTTAGAATTGTGTCTCCTCAAGAGTGAAGGGCCTGGCCTGGCCCACCCAGTCTTATCAAACCCTTAGTCTGGAGTATTAGCGCCCTCAGAGAACTGGAATGTGATGTTTATGGTGAAACTAAAACTAATAGAATGGAAAGAAAGTTTAACATGCTGTATTGAAACCAAACTTTGTTCCAGGAGAATCAAGTTATCTTACTTTTAAATATTCTCTCAACATTTGATGGCCAAGAGAGCTGAACTTAACTTTTTTAACTGTGTCCCTGATTTGGGTAAAGGTAGATCTTCCAGAGTTGGATTTTGCTACATAATATTAATCCCAGTGCTGTGTTGGCTCTACACAGCACAGGGATGAATGATTCCTATTCCTAGTTAGGGATTCATGGTACACAATAATGAGACCAAGTACATGGCTGATAATAAATTCCCCTGACTTTTCTTGAGCCTTAAATCTCTTTTTGTGTTCATATTTTATAGAACACAGTAATATACCAACTGTGAATAATAAAAAGTGCACTTTGCTAGTAAATGTTAGACTACAAAAAACTAGGACTTCGGCCGGGACCAGTTTGGCTCAATGGATAGAGCATCGGCTTGGGGACTGAAGGGTTTGATTCTGGTCAAGGGCATGTACCTTGGTTGCGGGCACATCCCCAGTAGGGGGTGTGCAAGAGGCAGCTGATCGATGACTCTCTCTCATTGATGTTTCTAACTCTCTATCTCTCTCCCTTCCTCTCTGTACAAAACTCAATAAAATATATTAAAAAACAAAACAAAACAAAAAACTAGTACTTCGTCACTGCACTGTGAAGCTTCCATAAGCAATTATTGGGTCGGCAACTAAGTAATTGCTGGTTTCACACATATATGGCTTCAGTTGAATTTTTAGGTTTGCAGACGTAGGACAAATGTAAAACACATTTTGTTATTTGATAGTTGGCTATTCAGCTGTTAATCAGTAAAAAAAGTTTTTTGATCTGTTTTGTAGTTTTCGTTTGGCGTTTGTTGAAAAATGGAAAATCAAAAGGAACATTTTCGTCATATTTTGCTTTTTTATTTCCACAAAGGGAAAAACGCATCACAAGCTCATAAAAAGTTATGTGCTGTTTATGGTGACGAAGCCTTAAAAGAACGGCAGTGTCAAAATTGGTTTGCCAAATTTCGTTCTGGTGATTTTTCACTCAAAGATGAAAAACGCTCTGGTCGTCCAGTTGAAGTTGATGATGCCCTAATCAAAGCAATAATCAATTCGGACTGTCACAGTACAACACGTGAGATTGCAGAGAAGCTTCATGTATCACATACATGCATTGAAAATCACTTAAAACAACTTGGCTATGTTTAAAAACTCGATACATGGGTTCCTCGCGAACTGAAAGAATCAGAGTTAATGCAACGCATTAGCAGCTGCGATTTGCTAAAGAAACGTAATGAAAATGATCCATTTTTAAAACAACTGATAACTGGCGATGAAAATGGGTTGTTTACAACAATATCAAGCGGAAAAGATCGTGGAGCAGGCCAGGTGAACCAACTCAAACAACATCAAAAGCTGATATTCATCAAAAGAAGGTTTTGTTATCAGTTTGGTGGGATTACAAAGGAATTGTCTACTTTGAACTCTTACCACCCAACCGAACGATCAATTCTGATGTCTACATTGAACAACTAACGAAATTAAACAATGCAGTTGAAGAAAAGCGGCCCGAATTGACAAATCGAAAAGGTGTTGTATTCCATCATGACAATGCAAGGCCACACACATCTTTGGTCACTCGGCAAAAATTAATGGAGCTTGGTTGGGATGTTTTGCCACATCCACCATATAGTCCTGACCTTGCATCATCTGATTACTTTTTGTTTCGATCTTTACAAAACTCCTTGAATGGTAAAAATTTCAATAATGATGATGATGTCAAATCGTACCTGATTCAGTTTTTTGCTAATAAAAACCAGAAGTTTTTTGAACGTGGGATTATGATGCTGCCTGAAAGATGGCAAGAGGTCATTGATCAAAATGGGCAATACATTACAGAATAAAGTTATTTAGTTCCATGAAAAAATTGTCTTTGATTTTCTTTAAAAAATCCGCAATTACTTAGCTGCCGACCCAATATTTTGTCTTTCAAAGTCTATACATTAGCTAAATGGCCATTTATGACCTTAGAATAAGACTTAAAAGCGTATTGTGTTTTTTTTCTTTTTAAAAAATATATTTTTATTGATTTCAGAGAGGAAGGGAGAGGGAAAGAGAGATAGAAACATTAAGGAAGAGAGACAATCATTGATCAGCTGCCTCCTGCACACCCCCTATCAGGGATGACCCATACCTATGCATGTGCTCTGACTGGGATTGAACAGTGACCTCCTGGTTCATAGGTCGACACTCAACCACTGAACCACACTGGCTT